AATTTACATTCAATAAAAATGGGAAGATTTAAAATTTATCCTATGAGATTTGGTAACCACCATCCCAATTTTCGGCAGGAAATTTCCTCATGCTCCTTTCCAGTTAACCCCTCCCAATGTAAGTATTGTTCTGACTTCTCTAACCATATATGAGTATTACCTTTCCTACAAATTAATATGAATGAATTAACATAAATGAAACCGTATATACTTTTTTGTCTGACTTTTGCTCAATGTGAGATTCTTTTATGTTAAGTATATTTTATAACTAAGTAGCATTCCATTGTTTGAACTTATCACAGTTTATCCATTTAAGTTGATGGACATTGTTATTAGTCCTCATCTTACCAACACTTTCAAACTGATTTTTAGGAAGACTGTTTTGTTAAGGTGTAGCTTTAGTTTTGAAAATTGCAGATGACCTTTTTGTTCCTTTTTTCAGTACTAGGGACTGAAGAGGACTCTACCACTGATTACATCCCCAGTCCTTTTAATTTTTATTTTGGGATGGTTATATTAAATTTCCAAGGTTTCACCAAGTTGCTGAGACTGTCCTCAAACTTGTCATTTCCAGTCTCAGCCTCCCAAGTCTGTAGGATCACAGGCATGCACCACCATGCCCAGCTGCTAAACTTCAGATTCCTTAATTGTTGGACTGGATTTTTGTTTGTTTACTGTGGATTGAACCCAGGAGCACACTACCACTGAGTTGCAACCTTTTCTTTTGAGACAGGGACTCTGTCAGTACCGAGGCTAGTCTTGAATTTGGAATCCTCCAGTCTCAGCCTCCTGAATTGCTGGGATTACAGGTTCATGTCACCTTGCCCTGTTTTTTTTCCCCCCTCACTTTGAGTGATGGAAATTTTCATTGTGCATTAGGGAATGGTCCTTTGCTATTTACCTCTCTGTACCTCTCCTACTGAGAACTTTGCATTCATTAAATGATTGTGCTAATTACTATCCAGTGAGGAAAAGGCAAATAATTATAAGTTGGTTTTAATGGTCTTGGTATATCACTACAGGGCCCTTGCCGTTAGGGATGAAGAAGGAAGTGGATAAAATGCTGTTATGAAGACGAGAGTTGACTGACTTATTTCTGCATTTTTAAAACAAGGGTAACACTGCCTAGAATGACGTTTCCTATTCACTAGTCAATACTTGCCTGAATATAGGATATTATTAGTTTTGTCCTTGTACATAGTAGGACAGTCTAGTTAGCTATGTTATCCTTAATATGTGTGTTTATGTACTTAATTATGAACTTTTTTTTATAAATAGCAACAATTGCTGTTCACTATAGAATGTATCAGATTTCCAAAAGCTGGGTTCTGTTAAAACTGATGTAGTAGTCCCATTAACCACTTCTAGATGAGCTGAATAAGTGAAGACCTCTTAGTGACATGGGAATTGTGTTACAGTATGAAGGTCATTTCCTTTGTTCTTTTCAGAATTTATTTTGAAAGTCGCACTTAATCCTCTTAAATCCTATCTGTCTGGTTCTTAATACAATTTATACCTTGAGTGAATTTTGACAATAAACAGTGTTATTTGCTAAATAGATCTCAAATTATAAGCCCTTGAAGTGAATATATTAAGAATGATAAAATTTATGTACCCTAGGTACCATTAACAATGGTTATCCTATGCACATTTTTTAAATGGTCACATGATTTAAGTTCAGCTATCTAGCCAGTATTTGGATTCTAAACCTGTGCCTATGTCTAATTTTAAATCACCATAATTAAACTTTTTGTTGTTGTTGTTTCTAGAGACTTTCAGTTCCCCACATCACATCACAGCTCCCCACCATCACCCATCCTGTGGGTTATATTTCTCTGTCTCTTTGAGCCAGCACAATATTGAGTAAAAAAAAAGTTCAGCATTCATTTTATTTTACATTAAAGAAACACAATCAATAAAAAAGCCTAAGGGAACTTTAGGACTCTATCTTCCCATTCATCAGAGTTAACATCTCAGTCAGATGCAGGGAAGTAATTTATTCTGGTAACTATCATTTCATTTTACGCTTTAGAGTCAGTGATTTCTAAAACTAGAACTAGTTTTAAGATGTTGCAAAGAACTTTTAAGAGTACCAATGTACAAATTAACCCCTTCACAGCTCCCTAGAAGAGACCTGAAGGTTTCAATTGTAAAAGTGAATCAGTTGGACCCAAAATGTCCATTGAGTTTACCCAGGAAAGCTACTGATGATTCCCATCTGCCCTTTACCTAAGGAAGCTCCTTACCAAGTACAAAGTGGTAGAAGTGTTTCTTTGGGGGCTTACTAAGAACTGTTGCTGCTATTTAGAAGTATCTGGCACCTACTCTGGCAGGACTAGGCATTTCATCTTGTCTACCTTACTGCCCTCACCCAAAGGTGATGAGGAGTTTTCCATCTAAGACCCTGCCCTGCAGTCATGGGTACTCTGCTTTTCTAAGCAATATCCAAGTCACTAACTTTCTGCTTGCAGCACACAATCCACCAAACTGCCAATCTAATTTACAGTGCGAGGAAGTTCATAAACGCATTCAGCCTTCAGAAACCTCAAACCCTGGGCACTCAGCAACAAACAAGCAGCCAAGAAGAGTCAAGGAACCAATGATTTTATCTCATTTGCAGTGATTAATCAGGTTGTCTCCTTGAAGGATGCAGTCTGATTGGCTGGCGGTGTTGATGAAGAGGCCAGCCTTCTAGCTGAACGCTAAGAAGGGAAAACGTGACCAGAGACCTAAGGGAGAAAAAAGGAAAACCAAGAAAGAAGAGAATGGTGTCGGCAATCATGGTAGTGATTAGAGGGAGTAATGAGGGCAGGGAGCATCTGATCCTCTGATGCCTTGGACCAGTGACAGGCATGAAAGCAAAGCAAAAGAAAGACAGCTGTGTGTTGAACAGTGGCGAAGTGCACAATTTTAAAACACATTTTCAAGCCCTTATGAACTCATGCATTTTATGCTGGGGTAGCAGCAGTTGGAATGCAAGACAGTTTTTATTATCATGGCCACTTTGTCTCGGTCCATTAGATAAGAAAGAAAAAGGAAAGTTTTTGAAGCTGACCATATGGAAAAGGATCTGTGATGCCCAGATGGAAGGTGTTTTTTTTTTTTTTTTTTTTTTTGCCAAAGGAATTTTGCTTAGGAATTATTTTTTCTTGCTCCAAACCTGTGAATAGGTTAAACAGTCTAATTTAGTCTGATGAGAACAGAGGCAGGATAATTAAGGCCTTGATGTCAGGAGAAACAGCTGCAAGAATGAGCAGACCAGAGAGAGCCTTACCAGAGCAAGGCTTTCCTAACTGCAGTCAAATCCCTGTGGCTGCTGCTGCTTAAAGGTGCTAAGGTAATATCAAGTATCTCCAGAAAGTACACTGACCTTGCAGCTATAATAATGCTCAAAGCAACCACAGCTATTTATTGAGCACTTACTATGTGCCAGATCCTGTAAGAATTACTCTACTTACATTTTCTCATATAATTCTTGTGACAGCTAGTCCCTGGCACAAGACAACCACTTCTCTAGAAGTCTCTGCCCTCTTGTGGGTACCAGAAAGCCAATCCCTGAAGGCTGCACTTCCCAGGGTTCATTTGCCTCCTGATGTCATTTTGGTTCAACCAGTGGGTAACATCAGCAGCTAATTAGGTTGGAATGAGAGAGGGAATGGGATATTTCTTCCTTATTGCCTCCAAGGTTGGGGCTTCACTCCAATCCTCAGCTCTATGCCCTGCAGGCCACCCCTCTTCTAGGATTCCAGGTTTCACAGGGCTCAGGTTAACACTATTTCTTCTCTCTGTCCTTCAGCCTTATGAACCATAGTGATTTCCTAGTCCTGCTAATCTCTGGTTGCCTCACCAACCTTTCTTTGTTCCCTCACCCTTGCCCAAACCTATATAAGTAATCCATTTGAACCACCTAGGGTGAAACCAGTTCTCTGCCAAGACCTGAGCAACATAATCCTTAAAGCAAGCTGAAGTTATGTCACCTATTTGCCTGGCACAAAGAGGATAGGTGACTCACTCAGCATCACACACCAAACCACCCCATAGCCCCATGTTTTAAAACCTGTGCATTTCATCACCACACCCTATTGCCAGAACCAGAACAATCCTTTCAGAGTCCAGAAGGTCTGGGGAGCTGCCATTATGCAGGTGACCCTTTGAGAAGCAGAGGTAAAGAGATTGAGGTGTTAGTAGCACATAGAGAATTCATTCCCCCCACAGATGGATGTGGTGTGCTAAGTGCAAAGTATAAATAATTGTGGTTTTATAGGTTAGAACTAGAAAGAAGTGTCTTGTCATTTAGCAGTGTATGGAATAGTCCAGATTTTTCCCCAGTTCATTCATTGAAATGTTTTTTTAATGTCTTTTATAGCTCAGGCACTGAGAAAAGGTATTGGGGATCAAGGTTGCTAAGAGGTGAGGTCTGCCTTCTAGAAGTTCACAGTTTGCAGTGTTGGGGGGTAGAAATTAACCTTGCTTAAAAAACATAATTAACTTTTGGTTATTAAGAATGATTCAAAAATTGAAACAACTACAAATTCCCAAAATAATCCAGAAATGAGAATAACTTTCCTGGTGTCCCGCAGGATGAAGGTGGGTCCTGGAGAGTCTGAGTAGTTTTCATAAAAAGACATGATAGTTGAGCAGATATCTGAATAGTGAAAAAGAGCTTGCCAGGCAGAAAAGGACCCAGGAATGACATCCCTAGAAGAAGGCAGAGCTTGTGTCAAAGCTCAGAAACATGAAAACATACCATGTGTTTGAAGATCGTGAGTACACCTGGTATGACAAGAACATGCACTGGAGAATAGGCAGTAAACACAGCAGAAAAGAGCCTCAAGTAAATAGCAGAGACTGTAGCACTCTTGCAGCCAGAATACCAGAGACAGAACTGCTGGAGAAGGCAAAGAGGGCCAAGACAAGTGAGGGGAGCAAAAGTTGGTGGGCGGGGCGGGGGGGTGGGTAGGAGTGGGAGGAAGAAGTATTAAACAAGGTCAGCCAGAGCCATGCCAGGCTGAGATCTGGCCTCAAGCCACTCACAGGTAGGAGAACAGACTAATTCTAAATGAAAGATTGGTGGTTAAGCAAGAGAACATCTGTTTCATTTACATATTGCCATTTGTCATTCACGTATCTATAGTCACATTTGGTAAGCTGGCATCTAGTTCAGTTATATTTACATTCCCCTCAGTTCTTTGGATACTACAACTATTGAACTCAGGTATTGGACAACTTGAAACAACTAAATCTGATCATCTAACTAGCCATTCATCAACGTCATAGGCCATGACACTTGGATTGAATTGCCAGACCAGTCCAATATTGCAAGTGTTTATTGGGCTTTTTCATTGTTTTAGGTACTAGGGATATTTGGTAACCACCCTCCAATGGTTCCTGACTCCTGGTGTTCACACCTTATATAATCCACTCTTAGGACCCATTTGTGTGACCAATAGAGTGTAACAGGCAGCTTCTTTATGGTCACACACTCTCTTTTTTTGTTTTCTTAGTTTTCTCACTCTGAAGAAGCCATGTGGTGAGCAGCCATAGAGTGGGGGTATGTGTAGAAATGGACAGATGCCTCTTTTCAACAATCACAGTTAAGTGAGCTGGGAAGCAGATCTTATAATCCCCATGAAGTCCTCAAAAGTTGTAGTCCTAGCTGCTAGCATACTACAACCTCATGAGAAACCTTGAACCAGAAGAGTTACTCCCAGTTTTCAAACCATCAGAAACTGAGAAATAACTAGTTTTAGATGCTAAGTTTTGGGGTAATTTATTATACCCTTGAGAATCTTATGATTTGGTCACACAAACATTGATTATTTGGCTGTTTCCTAAAGAGGAATGTCTCCAATTTGAATATTATCTGGTAAACAAGATGTACAATGACTGAAGAAGTCATGTGTTTGAAGGTCACCTGTGTTAAAAAAAATGGAAGTAGATCTATATGCACTCTTATGAAAAAACTGCTGGGACATATTGAGTGAAAAAAAAAGTTTTATAATATGATTTTAGTTCTATTTTTTTAAGTATCTTCAGTTTTTCACTGTTGTCAATGAAAGAAAAATTCACCAGGGCTGGAACATCTGACAGGCCAATTCATAATCTCCAAATCACTTTCACATTGAGTAATTTTCACTAACTTACCATTGCCAGTCTTTGAAATTCTCAGGTTTATTTATACCTTAAAACTCAACATTTACAAATTAATGCACCTGTTTAACACTATTCAAAATCATTTTTAGGCAAAACAATTATTTTAGGAATTATAGGAAGTAATAATATGGTTAATAAATAAATGACATAATGTAGCCATACGAAACATAACAACATTCCTTTTTCCCCTGACCACATCCACAGGCTGATTTCCATCACCATAGAAATTAGGAAATGGAATCATATTTTTGAGGTTTATGCAGATTGTATTAGTAATTTATTCTCATCATGAAGTGATATTCCATTGTTTGACTACATGACAGTTTTCTTCTTCACTCACTTTTGGGTAACATTTAGATTGTTTCCACTTGTTGGCTATCGTAACTATGACTACTATAAATATCATTACATAAGCATTTTGTGGGATATGATTTTATTTCTGTTTTTCTAGATCACAGGGTAGATGTATGTTGAACTTTAAAGGAACTACAAAACAATTTTTCTCAATGTTTGAGCCATTTCACAGCCTCACCAAAAATGCAGGAGAGTTCCTGTTGCTTTACATCTTCATTAACGTGCTGGTGTTAGTGTATTTAATTTTAGCCTGTATACAACAGTATCTTATGACAACTAATGGTATTGAGCATCTTTTCTTGTGTGTCAATTTTATATCTGAAAAATGATGATCTAAGCCCTTGTGAACTTAAAAAACTGAAAGTTTGCAGTTTTTTACAGGTGTCTTCTAGTTATTCCTTCCATATGCAGATGGTACCTCACAGATTTCCTTAAACAAATTTATCATTGTGAGTCAAACTTTCCCTCTGTTGCTCAGCCTCCTCCTTCACTTCAAGATTCCTTAAGTCCCCTGTATGAGTCCTGTGCCTATAAATGGGGCAGGTAGGTGGGCGTGGGAGGGTGAGGTGTGAGTGCATCATCCTTTGCCTGGTTACTGGAATATGCACCATCTCCCTGGTAATAAGAGAAACCAAAGCACACTGCAGTTTCCACTGTACCTGAATGGACTTCAGCTTCCTCATTTTTCCTTCTTTATTTCCCTAATGACTAGGTTACTTCTCATTACCACTCCCAACTTAATTTGCATGATCACATTATATGTATGACAATTTGATTATTTTTTTAAAAATTATTTTTTAGTTGTGAAAGGACACAATACCTTTATTTATCTTTATGTGGTGCTAAGGATGGAACACAGTGCCTCACATGTGCCAAGCGACCACTTTAACCCTGAGCCACAACCCCAGTCCCTCATTAGTTTTTCTTCTACTTTTTTTGAAAGGCAAATTAAAATTAATGTTAGGAAGATTCTTCTTAAAAGCCAAAAGTCACTTAGAATGAATTGTAACCCTCCAAAATGGGCATGTATCTGATTACAAAGACCTCTGTGCAAAGAAAAAAAGAAGTCTTAATCTTTTTGGATTTAGTTTTAATGACTCTACAAATGAGACTTCTATTATTTCCTGTAGTGGAAATATCTGGTAACAGGAAATGAGATTGAAGATAACTAATTCAACTTTATGTAGTCAAAAAATAATACCTACAAAATCAGAAGCACCCTGAAGTCAGGGACAGATTGTTTTTTTCTCTGTATCCCTTGATGCTTGGCCCAGTGCCTGCAACCTAAAAGAGTTATGGAAAATGCTTGCTGAATTCAATCTTATTAATTTTATTCTTATAGGATTATCTTCCTACCCTACATTAAAAAAATTATAATTCAGCAGTTTTCTAACTTTCTAGAGTTTTGGTATCGAGTGTCTATTTTTTTTTCCCTTGCAGGCAAAGTAAATAATGATCTAAGTTTAAGTTGTACACATTTTCAAATAATTGAGATTTTTAAGTCAAATATAGATTTGGACATGGATATTATTTTATTTATATGTAAAATGTGTTTTGATTATTCTAAGCTATTTTTTAGAATAGAGACATTTAAGATGACATGGAATACGTATATATAAAGTGCTCATCAACACTAAAGGCTCTGGGAGCTGTTTTTACTGTTATCCTTCCAGATCTTTTGCTATGCATTTATGCATTTAAAATCAGTTATACTGTGCATATTGATTTGCAATGTGTTTTTCACTCAAAATATGACAGATATATTAAAGATAATCACATGGTAAATCTATTTTTTGGACATGCCAAAATATATTTAAACTAACAATTTTTTCTAATTTTTTAATATTTTAAATAATTTGAGCTAATACTTAGTTGGATTTCTTTTTTACTGAATTAATTTCTATATTTAGAACAATAGATTTTTTTATTGTTTCCTTGTCTTTATTCTACCTTTGACTTAGTGACAAGAATTTTCATTTTTTAGTGGGAGTTTTCAGAATCTGATTCTGCAATGCTACTACTTTATAGAGTCTTGAAGTAGGCAGATGAGAATTTTACAAATGAAAACTACCAGCCTGAGACCCAGCAGCTAAATTTTCCCAGTTCATCTCCTACTTCTCTGCTTCTATTGGTGCTGAACTCCCTCTCCTCTTCTACCTTCTCTCTTGAGCTCACCTCCTGTCTTGTCTCTGATTAGGAAACTGGCCTGGCTGTCACATCGCGTGCCTCACAATGGGGCTGGGTTGTCATCCATCACTGCCCACACTTGGCTGCTAGTTCAGCCATGAAATGGTCTACCTCCAGAGTGAGCTGGACCAAAATCACTGGGAGGTAAGTAACCATAACCAACATATTCTTTTTAGTGTCCAAGTTATTTCTTTTCTCTGGCTCCCAACCTGACTTGACCTGTGCTTTCCCTCTGTGCTAAAATACCACATTTTAGAGACCCAGTTACAAAATGGTACTGTGAGGAACTTCTTAGACCTGCTACCCAGCAAAAACAAAAACAAAAACCAAGACAGAAAAAATAGTTACTGGTAAAAATTATTATTATTTTTTTAAATAGTCATTTGGACTGGGCCATAGCTCAGTGGTAGAGCACTTGCCTCACATGTGTGAGGCACTGAGTTTAATCCCCAGCACCACATAAAAATAAATAAATAAAATATAATGTGTCCATCTACAACTAAAAAAAAATTTTTAAAAATTGATCATTTAAAGTCTCTGAAGATTGCCAGAGGATATATAGCAAATGAAGAAATGGGAAAAAAAAACTAACTCTTGAATAGTGAGAGTCTGTGAATCTTAAAGTATAACCTGCTTCCTGCCTCTCCCTGCCCTGAATCCAGTGTGATGAAAGATCCACTTCAGATTGGTGAAGTTGAAAGGTTAATAAAATAGGTACTTGTCACTCTGTTTTTCTATATGCTTAACAAAACACTGTTGAAATCTTGTTCCCAGGATGTGTTGTCCCCAATTGTGAACTCTTTGCTAATCTTGTTCCCAGAATGTGCTGTCCCCAACTGCCAAACTGCAGGATGCACTCCCTCACTCGGTTGCAGGCAAACTGCCCACTCACCCTGACCCATCAATGAACTTCCCTCCATGCCCTCTCCAAGAAAAGTATATAAGCTCTGCTCAAGCGGTTCTCAGGGCTCTCTCTCTCTTTGCTATAGAGGGAGCCCCAGCATGCTGGTCTCCAAATAAACCCACCCTTCTGCTTTTGCATAAGACAGTCTCTTGTGGTCTCTTACTCCGACGTTTCGCTGGACCCTTACAAAGTCAAGAATATGGGTCTTCCTCCTGTCACTCCATTCCCAAGTCTCTCTTCCAGAGTGCAGACTTCCAGCATCTTTCATTCCCTTCAGCTCCACATTACAGAGGCTAAGTTCCAGGTGAGTATAGCCAACAAGGTGGTGGTTACTTGCCCAGCCCCCACTACTAGAGCAGAAACTCCATCCTAGATATGAGGGGTCAGTAACTGGGCCCCAATTACTCTGGACCAACCTTGCTTGTAGGACAAAGGTTGCAACCCAAGAACAGAGGCTACTGTTCCTGCCCAGCATGGGGATATAAAACACAGGTGTCGCTTTGAGAGAAGTCTTGCCCTCAGGTCTGGAGAAGTGGTGCAGAGGATTTACCCAGGAAGAGAGCAGGTCATTAAGAATGGAGAACTCTGAGCTCTTCCCAAAGAAACTGACTTTATCTGAAACAGTATGAGGAAGTTCTTGCCTAAGAGTACTCTTGAAAACATTGCAGGTTATGATAATAAGCAAGACTGATAACCCCAGGAAAGCAATGCACTAAGCCATAGGCCAGCTGCTTTACTAAAGAGAACCTAGGAAAGAAACGGCTAAGAAGATGTCCTCATGGGTTTAGAAAAAACTTTAAAGATTAGCCTCAAAATGTTCTCATGCAAAGGGTTCTAGATTTAATTGGATCTAACTATAGAGCAATTTAACACTGAGCAATAAACATGCAATTAGTGGAGCTTAATAGCTAGGTGTGATACCAACAGAGGTAGAGAGCTTAACAGAGAGACCAAGGAAAGAGGCAAGAGGGCCCTGCTAAGATCACTCTCATTTCAGGGTGACCTTGCAACTGTCCAAGACCATGTCCTCTTAAGAGCAACTTCAAGGATTCACACTGTGGGGAAATAGACTTTCCCCAAATAGTGAAGCCAAGTCACTGAATAAGCATGTAAACAACATCAAGCAGCCCCAGAGAAAGGGGCTGTATCTAAATATATTATCTAGTTTTCAACAAAAATCACAGAATATGCAAAGAAACAGGATGACCCATATGCAGGAAAACAAAAAGGCAACTGAAACTTTTTATTACAGTGTCCAAATATCAGAAGTAAAAAAGTCTTAAAAGTAGTTCTCATAAATATGTTCAAAGAACAGGAACAATGCTTAGAAAAATAAAGGAAATATAATGACCAATAGAGACTATCAGCAGAGAGATAGAAATTGTGCGTGTGTGTGTGTGTGTGAACTATGCACATTAAGAACCAAATAAGTATTCTATAGAGTTGAAATGTATAATGACCAAACTGAAAAATTCAATAGAGGGCCTTAACAATAAATTTGAACTTAAAGAGGAAAAATAAACTTGAAGATAAATAATAGAAATTATACAATCTGAAGAATGGAGAGAGAAAATATTGAGATTCCCTCCTGGGTAATGTTCATCTGAAAATGACAGATTCTCAGAAAAATGTGGGACATCATGAAATGTACCAACATGTACATAATTGGAGTAACAGAATTAGAGGAGAGAAAACAAGAAGTAGAAAAGACATATTTGAAAAAAATAATGACTGAAAAGTTCCCAAATTTGATGAAAAATATTAAGCTTGAGGAAAGAAACATTATTTAAAGCATTCACATCCTGATTTCAAAGCTTTCTACAAAGCTACAAAAATCAAAAGTGTGTGATTCAGGCATGTAGATATATCAGTGGAATCTAATGAGAGTCCTGAAATTAACTCTCACATTTATGGTCCATTGGTTTAGAGTAAGCATGCCAAGATAATTCAATGGGAGAAAGAATAGCATTTTTCAACAAATAGTGTTGGTATATCTGAATAACCACATGCAATATGTTGAAGTTGGTTGCCTTTCTCATATTGTACACAAAAATTAGTTCAATGTAGATTATAGGTCAAAATTTAAGAGTTAAAACTATAAAGCTCATAGAAGTCAATCTTTGTGAACTTTCATGAAGTTGCACCTTTTTAGGTATGACCCAGAAGCACAAATGACAAAAAAATAAATTGGACTGCATCATTATTAACTTTTGGACTTTAATGGACACCATCGGATGATCCACAGAATGGAAGAAAATACTTGTAAATAATATATCTGACAAGGGACTTGTATTTGGAATATATATTTAAACATATGTAACTAACTCAGTGAAAAATGACAACCATATTTTAACATGGGCAAAGGTTTTGAATAAACTTTCCTCCAAAGGAAATAAATAAATAGTGTGGACAATAAACATAAAGAGATTTGCAACATGTTTGCATCAGAGAAAAGCAAATAAAGATCAAAATGAGATATAACATTATATACATCAAACTCTGTAGGTTATAACAAAAAAGACAAATTATGTTGGCAAGATTGGGAAAAAATGAAAACTCTCAAGCATTCCCCCTGGGAATATAAACTAGCCCAGCCACAATGGAAAACTATCTGGCAATTCCTCAAAATGTTAAATATATAGTTACCATATGACCCAGTAATTATATTTATAAGTATATACTCAAAGAGAAATAAAAACACTTCCAGGGCTGGGGTTGTAGCTCAGTGATACAGCACTTGCCTTGCATATGTGAAGCACTGGGTTCGATCCTCAGCAGCACATAAAAATAAAGATATTGTGTCCATCTATAACTAAAAAAATATTTAACAAAAACACATGCCCACACAAGAACTTGTGCACAAATGTTCATAACATTCATAATAGCACTATTCATAAATAGTCAAAAAGTAGGGCAACTGAATGTCCACCAGCTGATGAATGGATAAATCAAATATGGTATATTCATTTAATTAAATATTTTTGTCAAAGCAAAGTACTGAAACATGCTACAATGTGAATAAACCTTGAAAACATGCTAAGTAAAAGAAGCTATAAACCAAAAGCCATATAGTGTGATTCTATTTATATGGAATTCCCAAAAGAGACAAATCAATAGAAATAGTAGATAATGGTTGCCTGGGTCTGGGAAGATGGCTGGAAGAAACTGAGGTGGTGGGGCTGCCTACCAAAGAAGATGGGCTTCATTTTATACACATACACACACACACACACACACACACACCATTCGTGTGTGTATGTATAATTTTGTGGAGGTAGAAGTAAATGATGAAAATATTCTAAAGCAGATGTTTGTATGACCCTGTGAATAGATTTTTTAAAATCACATTATACACTTTAGATGTTATTTCAATACATCTGTTTATATATACATACATATGGACATATTATACATAATATGTATTTGTTCTTTATCGTGTGTGTGAGTGTGTGTGTGTGTGTGTGTGCACTTTTTTTTTTCCAAAAGCACCTATCTTACAGAGAAAGTATAGACAGTGGAAACTGTCTAGAACTGAAAAGATACAGAATGTACATCCCTGTCTTCAAAACTACCTCCATTTCCTGAGTAGATATCTAAATATTTAGAAAATGAAACTTTTATTTCTTCTCCATGGATGCTTTCTTTCCCTGCAATATCTACCTTGTGAATTATGTCTTTCTCTCCGTGCTACTGATATGACAGAAACAACATGCTAATTAGTTTCTGATTCTTCCTCTTGGTGCACTCAAAAACCCCTATGCCATGAAGCCTTTTCAACAAATTCTGTACTGTGTCAGAATAGTTTCCTGAAGACAAGTTACAAGATCCTGTGTTGTTTGATGTGTTTTTGTGTGTGTTGAATTTGATGATATTAATCTCTGCATATTAACTGCAGCCTTTTTAAGAGAATATGAACATATGCTACACCTGGTTTATTTGTATGTGGTCTGTATCTCTTTCGACTACTGCTTTAAAAAATTCTTCTGAAATTAAGCCCTTGTGATAGAGCTTTACACTCTCTATATTCTTGGAAAACTGCCTTGCATAAAAATGCTTGATTTCAAATGCATAATAAAAGTAGGATTATTCTGTCATAATAGGAGGATTATGTAGAAGTTGACACATGATTGGTCTGGAGTGGCAAAGAAAGTATGTTAAATAGTCAAAGAGAACAGTTCTATTCTGCATGATTTAACCTGCTTGAGGATGGGCAATAAGGTGGCCTCTCTGCTTTGAATAATACCCAAGGGTCATTTATATACTTTGCAGTCTCAGAGTGGATTTCTATTTGAAGGAGCACTGCTTAAACAGGTATTTCAGTCTTTTTTTGATCTCTAAAAATCTGCAAGCATCTAAGTAATAACTCATAGTTAATCGTTAATCTCTTTGCCTTCTTTGCTTCTGTAACACCCTGTAAGTGTCAGGCTCCTCACACTCTCTGTCCCCCACCCCACTTCCAGGTTGCTCCCGGTCCCTGGTTTTGGCCATCCCTCTCTTGTGAGTCTAACACCCACCCCTCCCTTCCTTCTCACTTCTGCTTCTAGAGTTGGCAGTGGCAGCAGAGAGGAAGCCAGTAGGACTACATACACCCAAATGATTCTCGTTCAATTGCCTGTCAGTCACATTAAACTTCTGTAGATTGGGGATTTAGCTTAGTGCTTGTGTGTGTCTTTAAAGACCAGGGTTTGTAAAAGAATTCTTTTTAAAGTGTGCTATTGTTCTTTAGCACCTTGTGTTTTCCTTGCCACTGCCCTTAATCTATTCTGTACTCATCATCCTGTGTGAGTTTGATCGTCTTTGCATTATGGATATTTTTCTATCACCTTCTTATTTTGGTCCTGGAGAGCTAACCCTGAGCCTCCTGCATGCTAGGCAAGTGCTCCACCTAGAGCCACACCCCCAGCTCTATCACATTCATTGATAGGACTTCCCTTTCTGAAGAAGAGGCAGGCCCCTCACCTCCACTTCCAGCTTTTCAATCTGGCTATGGGCAGGAGAAGACAGACCTTCATGAGAGGCAAAGGGGCAGCTGCTTCCTGCCTCATCATAGGTCTCTCTTGAGATAAGCAGCTTTGAAAAATGGAACTCTGCTTTCTTCTTTATTTGTTCGTCTGAGTCACGAACATAGCAGGAAGATGGCAAGGATGATCTGACTCTGCATTTGTATCTCAGAGACAAAACAGCAGCCTCTCTTTGTTGAGTCAAAAGCTTTCATAGAAGGGCTCAGAAGGTAATGTCAGGGAAAGCTGCCGGCATCATACAAGTTGGGTGCAAAGTTCATGTTTGGTCACTTTGGGAGACAGTTCAGACTAAGTTCAATGAGTCTGCCATCTCTGTTCTAAATCCAAACTGTTTTCCAGTCAGGGTCTGTTTTGCCCGTGTCCTGAGGAGGAAGTTTTCCACTATATTGGCTCAACTAACTTCCTTTGGGTAACTGAGACATTTACTTTCTGCAGAAAGAATTGATTAATTTCCTTTCATGGCAAACTGAGCTTAACTTTCCTTAACTACCATGAAATTGAGATCTAGATTCATGAGAAGAGGTGGTCAAGGCTAGGAGGTTGCTACCAGATTCTGCCTCTTGCCTTCTTTTTGATTTGATTGTGTCTAAAATTCAGAAGGAGGCAAAGGGTGCTTCCCACTGTATCTATAAAAGACTGCTTTGCTTCATTAGCACCGAGACTGCCAGACACACAAACATGGCCAATCATTTGATGATATCAGAAAGTCCCAGGGTAGACTAGACAGTGAGGAGCAGTTTAGCACAGCGTGCTATTTTGAAGTACTGTGCTCTCAAAAATAAATATAGCCACTAAAGGAAAACAGTATTAGGTTTAAATTGTGATATAAAAATATCTGTTATGTAAGGTTCTAACATTCATGCTCTGTTCTTTTTCACTCAGGACTCCTTTCCCTGGTTCTTTTTGGCTTAAAAAGAAGTATTAGCCAAGAAAAGGGAAGGTATGCCTTCAGAGAGGAGAAGAAACCACAGCAATGGAGACCTCCGACTCAGAGGTGGGGTACAGGTCAAATCCGTTGCTATTTAAGGCTCATTTCTTGACAGATTATTTTTCCAGACAAGGTCTTCTGCAGAACTTGGACAGTTACAAAACACTCAATTATGTGTCTCTGGCTCATCATTTAACATTTATTAAGTGCCCACTATGCACAAGGAATAGAGTTTAATACTAAATTTAAAACAAGTGACTAAAAACTTCAGCTCTCAGACAAATACAATTAAATTGCACACCTTGCTGGATGTTTTCTTATTTACCAATTGGAGTGTATTTACTCTGAGTGGACAAGGCTTAATAGATAACTGCTTGATCTTTTCTCCCTCATTCCCGGGCAGAGACTGGGAATAGGGAGGGAGGAAGAGGGTGCCACTTGGGAGCTGAGTCATGAATGAGGTTTAGGCCTGTCCTTCTGCTTATCATCTTACAAGGTCAATTCCCAAACCTGTCTCCTAGAGCTGCTTTCATAAAGCACATTACTTTCCAAGCCTTCCTCTCTCATTGCCCACCGGCTCTCAGCAGATGGCTTACCTCACACAGAGATCATTGAGGCCATCCGCTAAGAAGTTGCTTCTACTTCCTAGCCAACACATTGATCTGCTTCTCCATCTCTCTCCTCCTTTCTGACTCTGAGGCTTCTCTCCCTACCAGCCTTGTTAATCAGATCACCTTTCAGCTCCTCTAGAGTTGAAGGAGGTTAGATACTTGTCAGTCCATAGGCAGAAGTCACAGACAGTTACAAGCACTCTAGAAGATTTCTTAAATCACCTAAAACAGTGGGACAAATGTTGGGACTACAATCCTGCAAAGTAATATGTAGTTGTGAGTGTATCAAATAGATAGCAATATATACATATAAGATATATAGAGATATATACACTATAAAAAATATAGACTATATAAGGCATATATGATGTATAGCAGGCAATTCCAAAGAGGTTATATTAAGAAAATAATTAAGCTTCTTGGAACACTTAATTTATAAGTATTCTGATTTCCAATTTGGTATCATCATACAAAAGTTGTAGACAACTTCTGTTTCTCTGTAGTCTTTAGTTCTTCAGCTTCATCTTCATGAACAGTAAAGCCATCACTACCCACCAGCGTGAACAGTGAATTTCACTTTTCTGTGGCCCAGAAACCCCTTAGTCATCCATACCTCCTTTGGAAGCTTTCATTAAGAGGTCTCTCTGCCTGAATCCCTGCCTATGGGCAACCTCCTTGAATACAATAGTTCCAGTATTTCCAGTATTATTTAAATAGTTGTTTTTCTTTCTCTGTCTTCCTCCCACTCCATTAGAAGATTAGACTTGGCTGCACATAAGAGAAACCCAAAATAGTAGTGGCTTAAGTAAGAGAGAAGTTTCTCTTTCTCTTATACAACTCAAGAAGTAGGTGGTACCGGGTTGCTTTGGTGGCTCTATGGTCATCAGGGACCCAGGCTCCTTCTCCCCTTCTGTTGCACTATTCTAGTTCAAGGATTCCATCCTTAGGGCTATTGAAGCTCTGGCCACTTCATTTGTGTTCCAGTCACAGGACAGAAAGGGTGGTATTCAGAAGAAGTATGCAAAGCTTGAAAATAAAGCAAAGGATGACTGCATGTCCTGCCAATGTCATCCTAGAACACTATCCACATACTCCCAAGGGTAACTCACTCTTGGGAAAGGGACCTACCTACATGTTAGTTACTCTCCATTCGGGTTTAGACTCTAAGGACAACTGATAAGATGCAAATGAATTTTTCTCGGGAGAGATGGCTTTATAACCTTGAAGAGCATGTGCCTAACACATGTATCTAACAGCATTGTGATTTCAGGAGTTATTTGGATATTATTGTTTTGTTTTATTTTAATTGGACCAGCTTTGCCATCTTCTTGTTTCCTCTTATTAATGTGTCAATTACATTTTTTCAATTTTTTCCCCAAATAATGTATGAAAATTACATTTTTAACATTGGTATTTTTTTATTCTATACTTTTAAAAATGGTTTTTATTTGTTCTAATTAGTTATACATGACAGTAGAATGCACTCTGACATATCATACATAAATGGAGTATAATTTCTCTTTCTTCTGGTCATAAATAATGTAGAATCACACTGATCGTGTAATCATATATGCACATAGGGTAATAATGTCAGATTCATTCTTCTATCCTTCCTACCCCCATACCCTTCCCCTCCTTTCACTCCCCTTTACCTAATCCAAAGTAACTCTTCTTCCTTAACCCCTCCTTATTATGAATTAGCATCCAATGTTTATATTTTGATCGTAGGAAGGACAAAAGGGCTTTCTTCTAGGTGAGTTAACAATTTCCCTAAATATCCCACTTAAATTTTCAGCTTGAACCTATTGGCAGGAACATAGTTATAAGGCCACTCCTAGCTGCAAGGGAGGCTGGGGAAATGTAGTGTTACAGCTCGTGCATCAGTAATTTTATTAAATTAGTGTTCTCTTACCGAGGAAGAAGGCAGAGATCAGGTGGCAGAGTGCAATTGATTGTGTTGGCCATGAGGACAGAGACCCATTGAGTATGCCTCTTTCACCTGTGTTTCTGCTGCTCCTTCTATTTTGTTTCTTTCCAGCATCCTAAAAGCACACTAAACGAGCTCCCTTAGCTTGAGCCCCTTGGTCCCGAATCCTCTTCCTGCTATCATGATAGCGCTTGTCTTTTCCCAGTCTCCCTTAGCTCTTCGGTGTCTCCTCCTGTTCCTACTTCACCCACTTTAATCATGCTGCTGTTCCTCTCACCCCTACAGGCCACTGCTGATCTAAGCCCAAACCCAAATCAGCTGCAATTTGTACAGCAAATATTTAATAAATGATCACTGATTTATTTAGTTCATTTGCTTATTCTTTTTTTTTTTTTTTTTTTTTGGTACTGGGGATTGAACCAGGGGCACTTAACCATGGAGCCACATTACCAGCCCCTTTTTGTATTTTACTTATTTAAAGACAGGGTCTCAGTGAATTGCTGAATGTCTCACTAAATTGCTGAGGCTGGCTTTGAATTCGTGATCCTCCTGCTTCAGTCTCCCGAGTCACTGGGATTACAGGCATGCAGCAACTGCACCTGGCTTTAGTTATTCTTTAGTTGTTCTTAGTTATTCTTTGAACAGTGTTATTTTCTACTCTTAGTTACGAGTTAATATTTTGGTTTCACGATGAATTAACTACGTTCTTTTGGACCTGCTTGTGAAAACCTAATTCTTAAACATCACTTTGGTTCTGTGTAAGCATGCACTTGGACTTCCACAGAGTCGGCCTAATAGCACTTTTGGAGATGACCTTTTTGGGCAGCTCCGGTCTGTTCAATTGAATAGAAAAAAAGAAATGTGAGTTTTGTTGCTAATAAAAGAAGATTCCACTTAGATTGTTCCCAAAGCACAATAGAGTCAGTGATAAGATGTGTACCTGGCTAACTCATAAAAGGAAAACTACCCATTTTGCAATCCCTAAGGAAAAGCACTAATAATATTCTAGAAGATGTCTTTTCCTCCATTCTCTAATCTCCCTCCCAATCCTTTCTCATCATATGGATCTAGCTATTTTCAAGTTGGTCTTTTGTTCTAAATGAGGGAACACAGTGTCCCAAATTTATACTTTGTTCTTTATTAGCCTCTCCCTCCTTGCCTGCTCTATTCACCACCTAGGGATCCTCCTTAGGGTTTTAGGGTTGGGACCTTGGAAGCCCAGGTTATTGACAACTGCCAGGAGGATGTAGTTATGCTGCCCCAATGTGGCTGATTGCACTCTTTTAAATGCTGCCTTATTTTTTCTCTGAAAAACCAACTCTCTAATGAAGAATAGTTTCTGAGTACATCAGAGTGTACCAGGGATGGCTTTGAGAGATTGGCAATATTTTGCCCATACCTCAGGTTTTGGGGGCATAAGTAGAGATAAGAATGGAAACTTGGAAGTTCAGTGTGTGACCTCTGCTTGCCATATCTAAAGAACAGCTCCAAGAGACGGAGGGCAGCCCCACAGGGAAGAGGCTGGTGAGCTTTTAATGCTGGACTTGGTGTGACTCTGCCAAGCTGTAAGCAGAGGTTGCCAATTTGGGACCCATGAGCTAAATCTGGCCCTGAGACATGCTGTGTTTGGCTGATACAATGTTTTTTGATTTAATTTTTTTAAAAGCAACATGAAAAAGGAAGACTTCATATACAAATCCAGATGTCTGGCTTCTGGATACTGCATCCCTGAGTCGTCACAGTTGGGTGGCACTGCAGAGCTGATCTTCCCCGCAGACCAGACCAGGTTTCCCTTCTGCATTTTGTCACAGTCCTCACTTCTCTCTATTGCACTCAGCTGCTTCCCACATTGACGATATCTGCTGTGTCCTTGCAGGCAATTGGAATTTAGGATCACTACTGCAAACAGCTAGTGATGGGGAAAGGTGACAAAGGCTTGCGGGGAAGGCTTCACAGAGGAAGGGAATGAAGCTAGTCCTTGAAAATAGATGGGAATTTTCCTGGTAAAGTAGAAAGATATGTACACTCTGGGTAGGATGTCAGGTAGAGAAAAGACAGAGAAATCTGAATATTATTGGGAAGGGTCAAATAGAAACTAAGAAATGGCAGGGCATGATCTAGGGTTTCAAGGCTCTGCCATGGACTGGACCTTGAATTCATTTTTCTGAGCCATTTATCTGCATAGTGGACATAATAGTAGCTCTACTGGACTGTTGTGACTACAAAATGTCACATGTATTTTATTTTAAAAAATATATTGAAGTATAATATACATCCTCAAAATGGTTTATATATATTTAATATATAAAATATATGTGTGATATATATATATATATAAAATAAAACTGAACACACTCATAAAACCAGCACCCAGACCAAGAAATATAAGGTTTCAACCTTCTAGGTTTTCTCTCTTGTTCCTACCTACTCTGTGCTACCATTATCCTAACTCCTCTCTGCTACCATTATCCTAACTTCTATCAGCGTAGATAAGTTATACCTGTATTCTGAAGTTGTACTTGATATAA